TACACAACACACTGAATTAAACAGCACACTAATTTACACAACTCACTGATCACCACAACACACTAAAGTAGGTCAATTTACACAACACACTGAATTAAACAGCACACTAATTTACACAACTCACTGATCACCACAACACACTAAAGTAGGTCAATTTACACAACACACTGAATTAAACAGCACACTAATTTACACAACACACTGATCACCACAACACACTAATGTAGGTCAATTTACACAACACTAATTTACACAACACACTGATATATATATCAACACATAATACACAAATTTACACAACACACCAATGTACACTACACACTAATGTAGGCCAATTTATACAACACAATAATTTATACAACACACTTATTTGCACAACACACTGATCTACACAACACACAGACTTACACAACACACTGATCACCACAACACACTAATGTAGGTCAATTAACACAACACTAATTAACACAACACACTGATATATATATATATAAATACATAACACACAAATTTACAGAACACACTAATTTACACAACACACTAATGTAGGCCGAATTATACAGCACACAAATTTATACAACACACTGATCTATACAACACACAGATTTACTTAATAAACTGATTTACACAACACATTCTTATTAACATAAATTAATAAAATAAAAGTGAATTGATTTTTTTTTACTTCACATGAGATTATTTAACACATTTCTGTAATTTAGTCAGGAATTTCCAATTATCTTTCATGTAAAGGTTCATTTAAGTTTGCTCTCACTCGTACTTGTATATATATGCAGTCCGGTGGGAATAATCGTTGGAGCTAGACACGATAACAATTATGTGAAACTAAATAACAACGTAGTACTTTGTCAATACATAAAGCTATATTGGTACAAATCTCACTCAAAGGAATGTTCGACTAAAACTGAAAATTCCCAAACAAATTGACAATGGCAATTTTATACACAACAGTTTACATATACGCCTTCAATTTCATGTCAATTGAAAGTCAGTGAACCATAAAACAATGAGCTCTAATGATAACTACTTGTATAAGACAGGTTCAATTCTTCTATATTTACATATATGGGGCTAGACCTGGAGGCCAGCTATATGACAGCTATACACCGATATAGGTCTTATCACCCACTTACTACCTACTGGCAGGCTGGAGTTTAATGCTGTATAGATATATTTAAATATTGACAAGAAAGCTATAAACAGCTTCGAACAATCTAAAATGCATTGAACAACAAATTGTATGTGCCAATATACCCAATAACTGATTACAATCACCGGAGGGTATCTCTGGTACATATATAACACTGTTTAGTGTGAACACAGGGTAACCTAGTCAATGTTTATTACACATTGATTTCACACCTGTTTCCTTAGTTACAATGTAATAACAGTGATGTACAATTCCACTAGCAAGACACCCATGTAGACTTTATTTCAATTCAAGTGATAATTTAAATATCAACTTTGAGAACAGATTTGGCTAGTACATTTCTTTTTCAAAATCTACCTGCAGACTAGTAACCTAAATATGAAATTGAACACCTCTTTATATATACCTCGTACAAAGTAAACCATGAGCAGCTAATACCTTTTTTTTTAAAAACAGACCTGAGGCATTTGGAAATAGCTGTTTTTATAAACTTTGGTATTTAATATTTACCTGTACCTAAAATAGTGAAAATTAGAGGCTTTTAATTAATGCTTTAAAATGTACCAAGCAGACGAGAAATTCCAGAAACCACAGAGTGTGAGCTACCTATTGTAGGACGGTGTGTATCCCACAGTGATTTGACTTACCTATTGTAGGACCCTATGTATCCCACACAGTGGTCTGACTTTTCTATTGTAGGACCGTATGTATCCTACACAGTTATCTGACTTACCTATTGTAGGACCGTATGTATCCAACACAGTGATCTGACTTACCTATTGTAAGACGGTATGTAACCCACACAGTGATCTGACTTACCTATTGTAGGACGGTATGTATCCCACACAGTGATTTGATTTACCTATTGTAGGACCGTATGTATCCCACACAGTTATCTGACTTACCTATTGTAGGACGGTATGTATCCCACACAGTGATCTGACTTCCCTATTGTAGGACGGTATGTATTCCACACAGTGGTCTGACTTAGCTATTGTAGGACCCTATGTATCCCACACAGTGATCTGACTTACCTATTGTAGGACCGTATGTATCCCACACAGTGATCTGACTTACCTATTGTAGGACGGTATGTATCCCACACAGTGATCTGACTTACCTATTGTAGGACGGTATGTATCCCACACAGTGATCTGACTTACCTATTGTAGGACGGTATGTATCCCACACAGTGATCTGACTTACCTATTGTAGGACGGTATGTATCCCACACAGTGATCTGACTTACCTATTGTAGGACGGTATGTATCCCACACAGTGATCTGACTTACCTATTGTAGGACGGTATGTATCCCACACAGTGATCTGACTTACCTATTGTAGGACGGTATGTATCCCACACAGTGATCTGACTTACCTATTGTAGGACGGTATGTATCCCACACAGTGATCTGACTTACCTATTGTAGGACGGTATGTATCCCACACAGTGATCTGACTTACCTATTGTAGGACGGTATGTATCCCACACAGTGATCTGACTTACCTATTGTAGGACGGTATGTATCCCACACAGTGATCTGACTTACCTATTGTAGGACGGTATGTATCCCACACAGTGATCTGACTTACCTATTGTAGGACGGTATGTATCCCACACAGTGATCTGACTTACCTATTGTAGGACGGTATGTATCCCACACAGTGATCTGACTTACCTATTGTAGGACGGTATGTATCCCACACAGTGATCTGACTTACCTATTGTAGGACGGTATGTATCCCACACAGTGATCTGACTTACCTATTGTAGGACGGTATGTATCCCACACAGTGATCTGACTTACCTATTGTAGGACGGTATGTATCCCACACAGTGATCTGACTTACCTATTGTAGGACGGTATGTATCCCACACAGTGATCTGACTTACCTATTGTAGGACGGTATGTATCCCACACAGTGATCTGACTTACCTATTGTAGGACGGTATGTATCCCACACAGTGATCTGACTTACCTATTGTAGGACGGTATGTATCCCACACAGTGATCTGACTTACCTATTGTAGGACGGTATGTATCCCACACAGTGATCTGACTTACCTATTGTAGGACGGTATGTATCCCACACAGTGATCTGACTTACCTATTGTAGGACGGTATGTATCCCACACAGTGATCTGACTTACCTATTGTAGGACGGTATGTATCCCACACAGTGATCTGACTTACCTATTGTAGGACGGTATGTATCCCACACAGTGATCTGACTTACCTATTGTAGGACGGTATGTATCCCACACAGTGATCTGACTTACCTATTGTAGGACGGTATGTATCCCACACAGTGATCTGACTTACCTATTGTAGGACGGTATGTATCCCACACAGTGATCTGACTTACCTATTGTAGGACGGTATGTATCCCACACAGTGATCTGACTTACCTATTGTAGGACGGTATGTATCCCACACAGTGATCTGACTTACCTATTGTAGGACGGTATGTATCCCACACAGTGATCTGACTTACCTATTGTAGGACGGTATGTATCCCACACAGTGATCTGACTTACCTATTGTAGGACGGTATGTATCCCACACAGTGATCTGACTTACCTATTGTAGGACGGTATGTATCCCACACAGTGATCTGACTTACCTATTGTAGGACGGTATGTATCCCACACAGTGATCTGACTTACCTATTGTAGGACGGTATGTATCCCACACAGTGATCTGACTTACCTATTGTAGGACGGTATGTATCCCACACAGTGATCTGACTTACCTATTGTAGGACGGTATGTATCCCACACAGTGATCTGACTTACCTATTGTAGGACGGTATGTATCCCACACAGTGATCTGACTTACCTATTGTAGGACGGTATGTATCCCACACAGTGATCTGACTTACCTATTGTAGGACGGTATGTATCCCACACAGTGATCTGACTTACCTATTGTAGGACGGTATGTATCCCACACAGTGATCTGACTTACCTATTGTAGGACGGTATGTATCCCACACAGTGATCTGACTTACCTATTGTAGGACGGTATGTATCCCACACAGTGATCTGACTTACCTATTGTAGGACGGTATGTATCCCACACAGTGATCTGACTTACCTATTGTAGGACGGTATGTATCCCACACAGTGATCTGACTTACCTATTGTAGGACGGTATGTATCCCACACAGTGATCTGACTTACCTATTGTAGGACGGTATGTATCCCACACAGTGATCTGACTTACCTATTGTAGGACGGTATGTATCCCACACAGTGATCTGACTTACCTATTGTAGGACGGTATGTATCCCACACAGTGATCTGACTTACCTATTGTAGGACGGTATGTATCCCACACAGTGATCTGACTTACCTATTGTAGGACGGTATGTATCCCACACAGTGATCTGACTTACCTATTGTAGGACGGTATGTATCCCACACAGTGATCTGACTTACCTATTGTAGGACGGTATGTATCCCACACAGTGATCTGACTTACCTATTGTAGGACGGTATGTATCCCACACAGTGATCTGACTTACCTATTGTAGGACGGTATGTATCCCACACAGTGATCTGACTTACCTATTGTAGGACGGTATGTATCCCACACAGTGATCTGACTTACCTATTGTAGGACGGTATGTATCCCACACAGTGATCTGACTTACCTATTGTAGGACGGTATGTATCCCACACAGTGATCTGACTTACCTATTGTAGGACGGTATGTATCCCACACAGTGATCTGACTTACCTATTGTAGGACGGTATGTATCCCACACAGTGATCTGACTTACCTATTGTAGGACGGTATGTATCCCACACAGTGGTCTGACTTACCTATTGTAGGATCATGGTATTCCAAGAATCTGTGACACACAAATTGGATCACCAGAGCTGTGAGGAAAAATGATAGGAATTTAGTTGATATACAAAATTACTTGTATTAAATGTACAGTAATAATGCTCAAGGCTATTCAACCAACACAATCTTCTTTTTGGATAAGGAATGGTATTGCAAAACACACAACCTTGGAATTATGAGATTATAATCAATTATTTTCTTTAATTAAGCAATTATTTTCAGGGCAACATATCAACGAGTGCTGAGTATGCCATTAGAAAAATTCTATTTATGTGAGAAATTCTATGAATTCTTCACACATGAATGTAAGTGAACTGAATCAACCTTCAAACAGTCCGATATATTTTGGCATAAAATATATTCAATGTACGTAATAAAATAAACTTAAGCAATAACATTTCTGCTTAATTGGCTTGTGCATTAAAGGAAGAGCAATATTTTATTTCCAGGATTTTGATAATATTCTGGTTTATATTTTAGACATTTTACACCTATTTTGTGCTAAACAGGGTCCAATGGGACAAAAGTTGAATGTTTTAACTCAGATTCTGAATTAAACCAGGGGTCCGGAAAAGCACTCATCTGGTTGTCATTGATCAGTGAAAATTGTCTCCAGACAACCAGATTTTTCTGTGCGAGTTGTCCATCAAATTCCTTTTTTAACTTGATTTTACAGAAATGTAATATATTAAGTATCTGTGGAAAATCTGCAGTCTACATGTACTTTACAAATTGCTAATTCGGACGAGTGAATTTTTTAGGTCAGTAGTCCTGTACCTCGTGGTTTGAAATTTTTTCCTGGACCCCTGATTATTCTGAATATCTATTTTATGAAAGTGTTCAGTCGTATCTACCCTTAAGATTTTGACATTACAACTTTATCTGTGATGTTTTACATATAAGATTAATTAATGGTAATAGGAGAAGGAGTAATGCAGTGCCAGAGCGGGATTCAAACCTTGGACCCTCAGAGCTCTTAAATGCCTCACTTTTGGCCTTTAGTTGAGCGTTCGCCCCTGTGAGGAAGGCTTTGGGTTTTGGACCGAGATATACTAGTCGGTAAAAATGGTAGTTTCTACTCCTGCTTAACGCTTAGCAATTTAGGAGTGGGACGACTGGTTCACCCGTTGTCAGTATAATGTGACTGGGTGGGGTTTCTTTGGCAGAATGTTTCAGTGCATCAGTTTCGCGCCATCACAAGGAGACAAACACGAACATATTGCAGCCTCCCAAAACACACACGTATACACTTCACACATGCATCTTGCACACAGGGGAGGCCGACCTTAAACGACCATAGCTGTTGATAGGACGTTAAACAATACTAAACCAAACCAAGCTAACTATTGAACTACCTGGTTGCTGGTGAATGACCCAGTCTAGTTCCGCTACATTCCTCCCTCCTTTTTCAAACTCTTAACCCCCCCAAAACAACACTATTTACAACCCAGGTTTGGGTATCCCCATGCAAAGCATACACCCAGTGCTAGAAACAAGGGAAGGTTATGTAAGCTTGCCAATTTTGTAATAGGAGAAAAAGAAATGCACAGCCAGACCGAGATTTGAACCGGGAACACTCAAAACTCTAGACAGCAGACACTCCATCCATTGCGCTACCTGGTTGACGTCCTGCATAAATAAAGGGACAGGCCCATCTGCCCGTGGGATAACCAATTATAAAGTACTTGTAAACTAGTGAATTTTATTCATTATATTCCATCTCGTGCATATTATATACATCTGTCCATTCTGTGGTTCATCTGCAGTATTTTTTTTACTCTGCACCTTCAATCACTGAACATTACACAGCGAGTCTACAAGTAAGTGGATACTACAAGGCACCACAGATTTAGATAACAAACTAATTCCATGATGGCATGTACATTGTAATAGTCACATTATTTATATTTTTTTGTATTAACAGATCCACTCAAATCTATCATATCAATGACAATGGTCATTATATCTCAATTCAGTGACTAACCATGGTAAATGTATACAGGATCATATATCACTATGAAAACATTACTAACTAACAATAACAACTAGAACTTGTTCTATATACCAAAGACAGTGGTCCCGATTTATTGACACACACCCGACCGTTGTGTATTTAATTACTGGATCAATCTAACACTTTGGCTCCTATCACTAGATCACATAATAACTGGGGCAAAATATTTGGGCCTTATATCTTTCTGATAAGATGCATAAATTAGACCAAGTTCATGGATATAATGAACAGCTGAAGACTATTGACAATACACACACTGAAGTCATGATATGTTTACTGCCGTGTTATTATCTTGAACTGACATTCTGCGGTGCACCTGGGGCTACATACGTCACAGCTATCATCACCTTTCTCACAAACACCAAACAAACATCTGATCCCTCGTCACATTTTATCGACTATTGTTTCTAGCAGAAATCGTTTGAATTGTTGTGGTTTGATGTTTTGTTGCATGACTCATGGACACTCGGGTACACACATCTAAAGGTATGCCGACGGTAACTATCTGACACTTACCACTTTTTCCAACTCCACCATCACCCAAGATGACAACTTTGTAATCTCGGACCCCATTCGATTTGGAAACTGCTGAACTCGATTCCGATGTCGACATTTCAAACCAAAACTGTCATTTCCAATCACGAGATAGTCGTCGCTTTTAACTGTAACGGGTCCCACTCAGGTGTAACCAGCGATTGTAAATAAACCTCGATGGTTTTGGAATACAACTTTATACGACAAGGTCCCTTGCTAAAAATAAACACTGTTCTGTCGAGATGGGAGAAATGAGTCATGTGCGTGTTTGTTAACATGGGCACGATTGGTTTAGGCCAAATGTCACCAGCGTTTTGATTGGTTATTTTCAGATCTACTACAGAATCAGTGGTGTTCACGCTCGAATACACACTACAATACACACGGTAGTCCCAATCTACAACTTGCATTGGCTTACATAAGTCTTCTTGAACGCTTTCGAGTCTAAATGAATGTGCTATTCCAATGTGTATTCATTCATCACCTACAAAAACTGCACCAAAAACTTCTGACGTTCTGTTAAGTAAATATCGACTTTGCCTTATATAAAATATATATTAATTACCACACAAAATATTTCATTTATTTTCTTTAAAACACGATTAACCTTTTTGTTCGAACAGGGATGTGTAGTCGAAATCTTGCAATTATTCACACTTACACCAACCATACCATTATCGATTACCGAGGATGCAACCGTTACAAAGTAAACCTGGGTATTTGACATCTCTACATAATAAACGTGTTTTTACGAATATATCAGGTTTAATGCCAAAGTTTGAATTTACAGTGTATTAAAATTGTCCTAAGTACATACATTAAAATAAACGGTCTTAGAATTTTCAAAACTTATACCATTTTACCTGTGATTTTTTTTACCAAACAGAAAAAACTATCCGTAATAAAAATCAATATTCAAAACTTTCTTTTTTTAAAAACCGTTCCATCTTTTTCAACATTTTATCTATAAACATTACGTTTTTTTCTTATGTTACAAAAAGAATCTATAGCACTTCTGTGTAATATTCACGTAGTCAGAAAAAAGCTCAATAAAACGGTAACATTATCGAATGCCTATGCAACTTGATAGCCTTATAGCATTCAGGTATTTCCCATCGGATTCTATATGTTAATTTACTTTCTTTTTCACAAACTAAAAAACTTGACGTCGTTTGACAATAAAGTTTGTAAAAGTTTGCACCATGGGTTAGAGCATTATATGTTGTTCCTGCTGCTGATATTTATAGATTGTCTGTAGCTCTGTTTATTACTCGACGTCAAACTAAGTGTCGACGTCATTCTAGAGGATAAATTGTTGGATTTTGTCATAAAAATGTTTTGCTAATGAAACTCATCACGGATAAAATCTAAGAAAGGTCAAATAATTCAAATATATTACCAAACAAGTGCTGGAGTAAGAAGAAAAAAATATTGAAAAAAGTAAATTAACAGAATCCTATTTGAAAATGAGGTAACGTGAAAGACGTATGACACGTCACTGTATATATGTTCTCCTACATCAATGGTCAACGGTTTCTGTAATACACACCTGAATGCTACTTGCAATGAATTTAATATACATGTAGCATTTGAATTTACTAAAATGGTCCGATCCTGAAACCGAGACAGAAATTTACAACATTCAAAACTGGTATCACCATAGCAAGTTCGTGATTTCATCAATCGCATACTATCAACGATTGCAAAAAGAAGAGACTTAAACCCTAAACACATATTTTTTCATTTTTTCCTTCAGAATACGAAATTCTAACTAATCATGCTTCTGTATCACAATCTTTGAGAAAACTGGGCAATGACAAGCATGGAAATCTGCTTCGATTGTTATTGGAATACAAAACTTCACAAAAAAATCTTATAAACAACATTTAAACGCTGGCCCGTGTGTTAACCTTTCTTGATAGCACTGTACCCCTGTTCCCCGACCTTTGTGGCTACATGTTATATTTGATTTGGTATTCAAACTCCTGATTTCCGTGATAGATGACGATTGCTGAAGGACAACTAACCGGAGTGGCACATGCACCATTCATCAGCCCACATCTTTCAAACTAAAACCCCACAACACAGATAAAGTGTTTCGTAAGATGCAGGTTGATGAATGCTACGCGCAAGTTTTATGATTGCTACCATGATAGATTTGGGGAATTTCTCTACTTCCCTGTGCGTTATGAAAGTCTATGATAATTAATTAATTAATGTGTCTTGCGCATTGAGACCAGCTGATGTTCCGAAAGGATAGACGTTTCCGACTTCATCCACGACACCTGCCATGTACAGTGAGGTCAACTCTAAATTAGGTTACGTCCTCAAAGTAAGAGATAACCGGAGTAAATTAATAATAATATTGCTTATGATAATACATTCGAGTCGTGTAAATAGGCAATGTCACGAAAGTTTCACCTTATACGTTCGTTCGCGTGACCCCTGTCCTCAAGAGTCAAATGCTGATATTTTTGTCACGATAAAGTTAATGAAACAAATCAATGTTCTCAGTTTCAAGGTCACATGGGTCAAATGCGTTCAAATCTTTAAACATTTTTTTTCTCTGAATAGCAAAAAGGCGTAAGGATAATTAAGCCAGTAGCATGCCGGGCTAATTATATATATTATAAAGGGCTATCGATGTTGTTCTAGTTAATGACCTTTGCTCTTTTTAAGGTCACCTGGGTCAAATGAGTTAAACGAGTTAAACTCTTTCATCAACCTTTGCATAAAAAGAGTCACACAGTTGATATTTGGTCTGTTTTATGCTAATATTAAGGGTTATCACATTTGTTTAAATGAATGACCCAGGCCAACTATCATGACCACAGGGGTCAAATTTGGGACTACCCAATCGATGATCTTCAACTAAGGTCACAGTTTAAATCATCGTCTGCTGAATCATTTTCAAGGTTTGATAGAAAGGGTTTACACTTTATTCATCTGAACGCTCGCTCCTTACTTCCAAATATCAGTGAACTCCGTCTCATAGCTTCAAAGTCTCGAGCTTCGGTTATTGCCATCATGGCTCGATGAATCAGGTAACATATTCTGTAATTCATATTGACGGCTATTCTGTCACACGTAAAGATAGATCAAGGAATGGCGGGGGAGTTTGTACATACGTGCGAGAGGACCTGGCGTTTACCCCAAGGTTAGACATCACATTTGACAAAGAAGAAATCCTGTTTATTGAAACTTTTATTACCTAAGACTAAACCAATCTTTATTGGGACATGTTACAGGCCTCCAAACCAAAGTGACTTTTTATACAATTTTGAGGAAATTCTTACTATGTTGAGAACTGATTGTGAAATAATAATGTTGGGTGATTTTAATATTTGTCGGAATCATAAAGAATTTACATGTAATGTAAAGTTAAAATCAGGTGTTTGAATGGTCCACGGAGGAACATCAGTATGTTAAATATAGCTTTGTCAGTCAACTTTATGTTGAGTTCTTGCAGGAAATTTGAAATTCGGATACCAAATGTTGGCAGAAGTTTTTGGTTTTGCGTAAGGATGTTTTGGTATTTTGGGTTGAATACTTGGTCGAAAGCAGGACTTTTAGGGTTTGATTTTAATTGAGCTACAAACTGTCATACAAGTTTTTTCCTTCTGTCATAAAGGGATGGTTCATTCGCTTCCACGCACTGGCTTTTTACCTGAGGTGTTGTTCGAAAAGCTCCAAGGGCTAGACGTAGCCCTTAATTATGGATTGGGTCTAGCATCTGCAGGTACGAACTGCGCGCCGACACGTATACCATAGAACCATAATCCAGTTTTTTGTTCGAATAAGTGATCTGTATAGGCGCAAAAGCATTTCACGGTCCGCTCCCCAATCAGTATTAGAAAGGACTCGTATACTGTTTAACGCCTTGGAACACTTATCCTTCAGATAATTTATATGTGGTATGAATGAGATTTTCGAATGAAAAATGAGGCCGAGAAATTTAGTCTGTTCAACAACAGGAATTCTAGTTCCATCAAGTGTAAAGTTTGGGTCATTGTGTGCTTTTGTTTTTGATAGAAATGCATGTCGTCTGCCCAATTCTGTAGTTTGTTTTAACTCTGTTGAAGTTGTCGTTCTAGTGTGTGCATGTGCTCAGATCTGTAACAGATCAAGAAGTCATCCACAAATAACGACCCTTCTGTTGATTGACAAAGACATTTGACTGTATCAATGATTTTAAGACCAAACAGGATGACTGATAGGATTCCACCCTTTGGGACTCCCATTTCTTGTTTAGACGTTTCAGAAAAAGTTGAACCATCACGGACTTTGAAGTGTCTATCTGATAGGTAATTAAATATAAAATTGGAAAGGTTTCCACGTACGCCAATGTCGTGAAGATCTTTCATGATGCCATACTGCCATGTAGTATCATAGGCCTTCTCAAGATCAAAGAACACGGCAACAAGGTGCTCCTTCTTGGCGAAAGCCTCTCGAATGATTTGTCCCTCTTCTGTTTCTAAAACCACATTGAAGAGGGGATATTATATTGACCAAACCAGTCTTGTGTCTATCATTCGTTCTAAAGTTTTACATACACAACTAGTCAGAGAAATAGGACGATAATTGTTTGGGTCAGTAGCATCCTTTCCGGTTTTGGGATAGGTATAAATTGTGGAGTTCTTCCACGAATCGGGAATCTTTCCGGAAGCGTAAACTTGGTTGAATATGTAAAGAAGGCATGTTAGTGACGAGTCCGGTAAGTGCTTGAGAAATTGATATGGAATATCATCAGAACCTGAAGCAGAGTCCTGAGATTTTCTAAGCGAATCAACAAGTTCTTGTAGGGTAAATGGTTCATTATAACTTTCTTTGTTTGATGATTTGAAATTTAGCCCTTTTTTCTTTAAATACTGGAATTTTCGGGAGTGGTTTAAAGAGAATGAGTTTTTAGCTATGTTTTTTGCAAATGCATCAGCAATTTCAGACCTAAACGGAAAAAAAATAGTTTTTATTAATGAGGTGGGAGGATGTTGACTTTTTCTTTTTCTCACTTATTTTCCGAATCATATCCCATACTTTTTTGGAGGACGTGTTTGATGATATCTTGGATACATATACTCTCCAGCTGTTTCTTTTGTCAATTTTAATTGATCGCCGACCCTTTGCCCGACAAGTTTTATTATCACTGTAGTTTGAAGCAGTTGGGCAATTCAGGTAGCGTCTTAGAGCAGCTGCCCGGTTACTGCGTGTTTTAAAAGATTCTTCTTTTAGTCCCACAGGCTATTATGA